AGACAGCAACCCAACCCTGTGTATGTGGGGTCTACGGGGAAGTTTTGCCTGAGTGTACATGCTCGGAAAACTCCATGTTAAAAACCAGCCTTGTGCCACATCCTGCCTTGCGGGGAGGTCTTGGGTAAATACTGTGTATAGTTTGGTTTAGGGCATATCAACCTCAGTTGGTTATTTAATGCTGACAAGATTTTTATTGCTGGTAATAATTTTTTTTCAAAAATGTATTGCTGGCAATAATATTTTTTTAAAGAAAAATTGCTTAAGTTTTACTTAATATTTTTAATAACAGGTTTAATTAAAATACACACATTTTGTTTTTATATTTATGCCTTTACTTGGATTTAGAACAATAACAAATTTATAAAGATCCAGCCACCACTAAAAATCATCCATTATTTAGCAATCACATCAAATTCACGCATTCAATTAAAAGCAAGAAATGACTAGGAAAAAATATCATCATATAAAAGTTCCTCTACAGAGGACAGGAGAAAAAAAAAAAAAAAAAAAAAAAAAACAATCAGAAGAAACTGAGGACTTTCAACAGGCCCGTTTGCTTGCTAACAGGAATCAAACTGCTGCTGCAAGACAACTTGAAACTGTGGATATTCAATAGGTCCATTTGCTTGGTAATAGCAATCAAATTGCTGTTTCAAGAGAAAAAGAACAAGGCAGCATTTAGGAAAAATGCTGACTGAACATGCCACTCCATAATCGGAGATCATGCAAGAGTTTCAAGAAATATTAATTGGCTCATGGAAACTTTTTCTTATGATCACCTACAAGTAATCCCAAAGTAACAATTGGGGAAATGAAAATCATTTGTGAAAATTGTGGAGCAAAGAAGTAGCCTGCAAAATTACTTGGTCTATGTTGCTTAGGGAAAAAAAAAAAAAAAAAAAAAAATCAATCTACCAACAGTACAAGATCCTCCAGAATTGCTCAAGAGTTTATTATTGCAGAATACTCCAGCAACAAAAAACTTCAGAAGAAACCTGAAATACAATTCTGCTTTTCCACTACCCAAAGATAAATTTGTGCAGATATATTGTATGGGTGGTAATCAAGCAGGAGCACAACAAAAATGCAAACATGTTCACAATGGATCGGAATTGGACAGTCACGCAGTTACAGGAAATGTCTCACCAACATATTATTTGTATGTAATTCTCTCCAACCATCTGACATGACACTTCACAATTTCATTAAGAAAAAGGGAGACCTCCAGTCATATTCTTGATAAACATAGACCCCTGAGTCTTTGCAATGTCATTGGGTTGATTTTCAAGACAATGAATCAACTCCAATTGCTAAGTCCAATGTATCTGTGTAAAGTTCATATTCTTTGTTCAGGTCTGTGTATGTTAGCATCACCGATTCGGAAAGCATATCGATCAAACGATTCCTGAAATTTGTCATCTCACCTAAAATTCATGCTTCCCAGTTAATCTAATTAATGGTTCTTCTAAGCTAGATGTCTAATAGTTGTGGGAATGGCTATAGAGTGTATAGCTTTTACTTTTTATCTGGTTAAATTCCCTTAGCACTGATTTTAAACCTTACATACTACTCAGTCTCTGACTTTAAAAAATTCACACTTGCATCAACTTGTGTTTCCTTAAACTGGTTTTCAACAATTTTGGAGGTATTCATAAAATTTAGAAAGATGTTCTTTTAGTTAAAAAAAAAAAAAAAAAAATTGAAATATCTAGGGTAAATTTGCTTTTTAAGCCCTGCAAAGAAAATCTATTATAACTTTCCCAAATCGTCATATTTCCGTGTAAAAGTATATGCTGAACTTGAAAATAACGTCCAAATTTTGATAAAACCTACCGTTTTGAAGTTATCGACAATAAAAATTCGGTCTCAGTCGCGTTCATTTGTCCGCCATTACGTGCCTTGTTTAACAACATTTACCGCGGAAGATTAATTATCGGCCTTTTTACTGCTTTTATTGCTCTTCTTACTCGTGGAAAGCAGTGCCAAGTGAACATGTTTTTTTTAAACCTTTTTTCTTGTTTCGAAAAGCAAAATCAAAGGAAAAAAATTAGTACAATAAACCTTTTTTTTCTGTGTCGAAAAGCAATGACAAAATGAAAAAGAACAAAAAAATAATACATTCATTATCATTACAATAAATCATTTTTTTAAATTAAAAATAAACAGTATACGCAAACTTTGTAAAGACTAAAAAAGAGCATGTTAATTTATAAAATAAAATTTTAAAGTAAAAAAGAAACTAGAAAGGAAATACTAACAAGAACAAATTTCAATTTTAAATATGTTTTGTTTTTTTATTAAATTTTGGAGTTTTAAATTACTGCGCACTTAAGTTGTGTCTCTAAAAGCAATGACATGTTATTTTTTTCAACTTTTTTTTTTTTTTAATAGTAAAGCTTTTCCAAATTAAAAAAAATTAAATAAATAAAGCTTTAAATTAAAAATAAAACAAATAATTAATGTGTAAACTTTGCACGAACTTTAGTATGAATATACTAAAAAAATGTCCCAAAAAGTAAAACTTAAAAATTTATACTCAAAAAAAAATTTTTGTTGAAAGTTGGTGCCTACTTGTAATTTAATAAAACGTTATTTCAGATTTATGAGGAGAAAATATTTAGTTTTTAAAATGTACTTGTAATATTTTTGAGTGTCGACATCCTGTTGCTGTTTGTGAGAGTTTCTTAGTTTTCAAGACATGTTAGTTTGGAGAATCCAAAAGTGTAAAGTTTAACTGCCACTTTCGAGTGAACATTTTTTAAAGGAATTTTATTTTGACCATTTTCATAACTGATTATTTTTTTTTGTAGGGAAGTTCAAAGGAAGTAATAATTCTTCTGTGACTGCAGTCAATTAACAACAATTAATAAGCCTTTCTTTATCAATTTTTCCTTTTTTGTAGTAGTAATAAATTTTTAAGTCAGCATTGGGTGCAATTTAAATATAAATATAAGATATAATCAAACAGTTAAGAAACCAATCAAAAAAAAAAAAAAAAAAAAAAAAAGCAAAGAAAAGTATCAATTATATTTTAACTAATTTTTAAATTAATTTCTTTTACTAATGCTAGTTAGGATAAAAAATAAAATTATTCATTCTTTCTAAGTTTCATAAAAGCGTAGAGAATAAAAAAAAATATAGAACCTTGGTTAGGTCAAAGATATATTTTAAAATTAAATATGAACAATATTAATTTCTTCATTGTTGTACTGTTGATCGTCTGTATATTTTTCATTTTTCGAGCGCGTTTTAAAGTCATGTGCGGCAGTAGAAGACGACTTTTTTTTTTAAGGAGGAGAGTACAACTGCCTATACTGATATTTATTCGTACAAAAAGTACAACTGCCTATACTTCTGCTGATGTATTTCATCACGTTCAACTGCCTCTAATGTTCCGTGTACTGTCAAATCTTTACCTTAAGTCTTCGTAGTTCTGTAAGGTTTTGAATTTTGATCCTTTTTTTTGTGTTCAGAACGAGGCGAATCAGTTGTACATACCAAATATAAATAATCAATCTGCAGAACTAATGTTCCTGAATTTGGTATTTTATCATTAAGAACGAAGTACTTCACATAAAGACAATAATAATAGTCGCAATTAATAAACAAAAATCTTGAGAAAAGGTCTCGTCTTCTGCAAATTTTTCATATCTTCAAACAAAAGTATGAAACTACAAATTTGACCGTGTTATTACTTACTCTTTTAATTATTACAATTCTTTTTAATTTGAGAAAGAGTGAGACACAGTAAAAAAAAAAAAAAAAAAAAAAGTAAATTGTAATTAGAGAAGTATTTTTTTTAAATTAACAGTTCATACCGCTACATCCCGTCAAAGACAACTCATGGTAAACAATAAAAAACTAAATTGGTTCTAAAAATATTACAATAAATCTAAGTTACTTTAAAATATTGTAGGTCAATTTTAAAAGGACTTACTTTACACTTTACAGAGAAAACAAGTAAACTAAATCGATAAAAATTATGTCATTCATGTTTTAAAAAAATTAGGTGATTAAAAAAAGACAAAAATGAACTATTAAAAGGAAGGATCAGCTAGAGAGTCTTTGAATGAAAAGTAATAATTAAATTACACATTTTAGACTAGAGTAGGCACACAAAAAAAAAAAAAATCAATAGGAAAATCCAATAGACCTCTAAATAAAAGCTGCCGAAAAAAGAAAACTTTAAGGAAGCTTAAACAACAATTTCTGCTTTGTGTGCTTACAATACATTATTTTTTTAGTGAAGAGTGGGTAGAGCTGTCCAAAGGTTTTAATTTCTGATTAATTTTTAAATAAAATCATAAAGGATTTGGTCTAAAATTTGCGTATTTTTCTTTCATTGTTTTTTTTATTTTTTTTAATAAAGAAAAATATTTAACATTAGTAATTAGTGTTTTCTTATGATTTTTTCACGTTTTCAAGATCCATTGCTAAATCAACAACAATCGACATCAACTTGTAACGCAGACATTTTTTTAAATTTCCCATTAAGTCAGGTCAGCTCAATTGGAATTCGTTTATTTTAAATTTCAACTTTACTCACATTCACATAGCTCAAATTTTTTAACTAAAAACATACTTTTTAAAAAGTTTTCTAAAAGCGAGTAGTGTTTTTTTAATGAATAATAGTGTGTTAGTAACTTTTTTTTTTTTTTATTACTTGTGGCAATCGTAATACATCTAAGATTAAATTACAAAATAAATGTAAAAATTTAGGAAATAAAACTAGAGCAACTGTGGTTTTTTTTTTTTTTTTAACACAAACGGAATGAAAAAGAAAAGTTAAAAACTTTCTCTAACAATTAATTAATAATGTATTTCTTGTCATAAAAAACTACTAATACAATTTTGTTTTTACTCCAAAATCAAGGTAACTAATTACAAATATATTTTTTAACTTTGTCTTTCTTTAAACTTTCTCCCAATTGTTATTCAATGGACCCCTTCTTAAAGGGCTCACTTGATGGATTAAGTTAAGTTAAAGAAAGACTTACATTTATCTGCTGAGGAGGGAGTGGTTGAGTGTGGAACAGCTGTAGTCGTTGGTTTTGTACTGTTATTGGCTTCAATAAAAATATTCAATAGTAAAATTGACCACCATAGTGCCAAACTACTACTCAGGACTATTCCTGATCTTACTGTCATGTTGATAAAATCTATCAGTACAGTGGGGGAATGTTCGAAATTTAAAAAAACCTTTTTGTTTTAAAGTATAAAAATGCGTGAAAAGTTTCAACAACTTTACATTTAATGGCGCGCACTAATACATCAAAACACTCCTTTTTCTAGTGTATCAATTTTTATTTAGAAAGTTGTAAGTGATTGACACTTTTTCTTAATAAAAAAAATTGTTCGTATATATATTATATGTTTATTTTGGATACCATAATGTTCGCAGGAGGATATGGCAGTAGGTAGAAAATATCAACAGGATTCAGAAAGAAGAAAAAAAAAATGAGCATATGTACTACTTTTTGTGTCGTATCCTGAAATAAGCTTATTCGGATGTACCAGTTATATTTTGTTTAGTGGACGAGTATGACAACTTTTTTCCTCAATTCGATCCTCATCAAGTATTTTACGAACTTAGATTTGTGTCAAAATTGGCTTTCATTTGTCATTCAACAACAAAATAAAAAAAGGTTGAAAAAAGAAAATAAAAGAAAGATGTTTTTAAATTATTGCGGTCAAATAAAATTTATTGTGAGCCATAAAATCGAGATGGGAAAAAAAAAAAGTGTGCATAAATTGCAGGAAATCTTCATTTTTTCTTTTTTAGATTAACTTGTAATCATGTTTTTTTTTTATTTATTTATAGAAAACTAACTAATTGGTCAAAAACAAAATAATGAAAGAAAGAAATGTTTTGTACAAAATTGTAAAAAAAAGTTTCCGTATTGAATTTATTTAAAATTTATTTGTAGGTGTCTCTTACTTTTGTTTATGCTTCACTTATTCATTGGCCGTAAAAAATATGAGTTTATCCTATACTTGAACAAGCAGCGTCTTCCAATCTTCGTCTTGGTTGTTAGTTCATCACAACATTTCACTCATTACTCATTCATTATACTAGGTTTTTTTCAGTCATAAAAATTTCGACCCGATCTCTTAGTTTTTAATTGATTAATCTTTTCTTTTCTTTCAGCTAGAGAGAGGGTGTATAATGTCAGTTTAATTCGTCTTTGGGTTTTTTAATTTGTCTCTGAATTACTGACCCAGAGTAGTACATGACATTTTTTTGTACAACCCGACCTAGAGATTGAACTTGATTCGCTTGGCTTCTTTCTTAACCAACCCGTTTGTCCATGACACGTTGTGGCTTTTAAATGTAGTCAGGTAGTGAAATTTGAGTCTTAGATTTAATTATTTCTCTTTTAAGCTCCTAAGATGCCCATTTTGATGTTACAACTGAAGAATAGTGGAGCATATTATGTGCGCTGACTTTTTCAGTCGCCTTCCCGTGTTGTTTTCTTTTAAGACATAATTCCTCCTCACTAGACCTAACATAGAAATGTTAAATTTCACTTTGCTTGTTTATATAATGTTCCACTGGACTTTGGAAGGGAAGATATAAGAAACTAGCAGCCGAAAAGTCGAAGCAACACAAAAACGACACGACACATGATAAGATAATTTATTTAAAATTCCCCCGCTAGATCCGTCTTGATCCCAGCATCCCTTAGTGGGACCAGAAGTCCTTACAGTCATCATCATCATCATTATTATTGATGTTGGCATAATATCCCCGCTCCTAAAGTAGTTTATTTTCTTTATTAATTCATAACTTTTCCAAATTACAAAATAAATAATTACAAATCAAATCCAAGGGTGATAATTCACTCCACTTTGTGAAATAAATCAAACAGTTATTTTGGAGTTTGTATTTTTCATGTATTATTATTTGTTTGAAGATCCTTGTAATTGATCACTAATAATTCATTTCTTTCTATTTTCAGAACGTGAAAATAAAATATGTTTTCTATTTCTTCGGAAATCCTCTTGATTTGTTGTCACAGTTTATAACCTGTTGGCAGTGTCTGCTGATTTGATTGTTCTTTCAGCAGTGTTCCAATATTTTTCTTTATCTAATTTCATTCTAACTCCTTTTTATAGAGTTGGCAAATTTCTGGCCACATGGAATCTATTAAAATTCTTTTCCATTCTAGTTTTTGCCAGTTTGTCTCTTTCCTTTATTTGTTTGAAATTGGGCCATTTTGGGAATAACTTTTTTGGATGTAAAGGTAATGTGGTTCTTATTTTCCTTCCCATAATTAATTCCTCTGGTTTGAATTGGCGTACTCTGGTATGCCATTAATACTTGAAATGAGTCTGATTGTTACAAAATTCTCTTAGCTATTTTAACAGTACTTTCCGCTTCTCCATTTGCTTGAGGAAAATGCGGACTTGATGTTATGTTTAAATTCATAACTAGCAGCAAAATCTTTGAAAGCGTAACCTGAAAATTGTTTCCCATTATCACTGACAAGTTCAATAGGAATTCCCCAACGTGAGAAGAAAATTTTCAACTTCCCTTTAACGCATTCGCTTGTCATTGGATTAAGCTTTGCTATTTCTATATATCTTGACAAATAATCTATTGTAACAATATATTGGTGTCATTGGTGAGTGAAAATGTCTGTACCAATTCTTTGCCATGGACCTTGAAGAAATGGTGTTACTTTTAATTTTTCCTTTTTATTTGTTGGGTGGTGTATGTTACAAAACAAGTATTTTTTAGATACTCCTTCAACTCTTGAGATATTTTAGGCCACCATACCGATTCCTTGGCTCTCTCTCGGCATTTGTTTAGTCCCAAGTTACCATTATGAAGTCTCCTTTAATATTTCTGGTCTAAGTTTTGCTGGTATGACAATTCTGTCCTGAAACCATAGTAAATTGTCATGACATCTGACAATTCATTCCAACTTCGAAAATATGGCCTTATTCCTTCTAATTCCTTCATTTCTGATCAGTAGTGGGTTAGCCAATTTGTATTAGTGACAAATACAAATGAAACTGACCCTCTACTATTTTTATTAAATCAAATGCAACAACAACAAGAGAAATAATCAATCAAATAGGCAGATATTTGTTTTAACAAAAATATTTTTATATAACAATGCACACAATATAATAAAGTTGTTTAAAACACTTTAGAGTTCTTGGTTGTGTGATCAATATAAAAGGCGTTATGCTATAGATCTGGTAAGAAATTAAACAGTTTATGTTGATGGTGAAATTGAATGAAATAGATTACTTGACTTACTGTAGAGTTGTCTCGCTTCGACTGATATAGTTACGATTTCCTTTATGTTGTTAAGATATTGAATGAGTTGGTCTATGAATCTCGTTTTGGTTGAATTCGTCACTAGATGAGTTGATGTTGAAAAGAAATTGAATTCAACAATCCGGGTTGATGTTAATAAAAATTAACTTTTAGCAAGGAAATTGGGCTTCATGTATTCGTGTGACGAGTTGATTATTTTAAGGACTCACTAAGTCGCGTCGAAGTTTCATATTTATGAATTTTCTTGATCACATGGGAGGCTCGAGAAAATGTTTACCAATTTTTGGCGCGTTGAACTCTGAACAGGTCAACTCAAGGTCAACCGTGCGGACGTAGGCAGAAAACATGGTATTATATCTATGGACCAGTCAGAAAACATTGTTTCGTACTGGTCTCTAGAGCAGATTTTAATGGGTTCAGCATAAACTGAGAATACTTAGCTGTGATCCACTTTTAACAGGTTTAAAACAGAATGTAGATATCTAATTCTACATGTTCAAGGGTTATATAATGTTTTAACTTAAATTCTGAACGAGTTTGATAAAATTAACAAAGAGGGCATTTTAATCATTAGGAATGAGTAATATATTTTTGTGCAAATACTGGACATTATTTTCCCAACAACCTACTATATATGAACAGGTTTTTATTTCCAAAAACATGGTACTTTCCCCTGGGAAATCATATATATCAATAAATCACCCTAATTTTAATTTATTTTATGCGGGGATATGGATATCTTACATTATCGTTATAACACTATATTTTGATTTTGTATCCGTGTACACATTGTCTTTTTATTGACTCACACACAACACAAAGCCGCTGATACACTCTCTAAATGTTTGGATATTTGTATGAGATACACTGATTACATTTGAGACATATTCAATATGCGCTTTTCTATTTACGAAGATCTCAAAATATGACTGCGAATACTGATTCTTCAGAAATTTGAGATAATAAAATGATCATTCATGGGATTTAAACCGACAATATTTACACCAAGATGTCAGCCTATCTTTTCTTGGAGGCTATAACGTCATTCTTCACAAATGATTCATCAAAGTTCAGGGAAGATAAGATATTTGAGCATTTTAATTTTCATCATCCTCAATAATTTAAAAATTTAGATTTTACTTAATGTACAATACAGGAATGCCAACATTTCCAATCAGAAATAGGTTTATTCACAATTCGAAAGTGTGGCATTTTCTGTGGTTGTAGAGAATTAAAAGAAATAAAACGTGGCCTTTTTTTCTGTGAGATTTAAAGAAAAATGTGGATAATATAAATATGAACAAAGTGAAATGGGATTTGTAAATTTTCTGATATGACTAAATTAAAAAAAAAAAAATGGTGAAAATGGAATTAAAGGCCAGTAACTCTTTCTGACAATTAGTTAGTTGCTTCCCTTAATCTTTTTTCTTGGAATAAAACAGTTAAGAATTAGACAGAAAACGTTAATTAAAATTATATAATTTCACTTAATATTTTTTCTTAATTTTTTCCTTATCTCTCCACATCTTCTTAGATATATTGTCATTTTCTTACTTTTTACACTCATTAATCATTTCGTGTTTAAATAAAAATGAAGGTGCTTTTTTTAAATAAAGTACTTCATTTAACAATATTTTTTTGTTCTTATTAGAAAATCATATTTACGAAGTTTAGCATAATCACACTAGCACAACCGTGAGACATAAAATGGAGACTAAAGTTCTTAAATAGCGTCTGCAAGATCAACTTTGCAGAGTAAAGAACAC